TATATATATATATATATAACATGATTGCATAATAATGTTAAAGTTTAATATATGATTGAAAAAAAATTGCAGAGTGCATACCCATTAAATTCGACATATAATAATTTAACTCTTAATCGTTATACTTAATAGGTGCCAAAAAAATTTATACTTAATAATTAACGATTTATTACATATTTACATTTAGTTAATAAATAATAATATTTAATGTTATTGGGAAGTTAAAAAAAAAACTACATTAAAATGATTATACTTTTTTTTATATAAAATGAGAAATATAGAAATTACATTACGAATATAGTTAATAATAAACTGTTTGATATATTTAATTAATTATAATATTTAATATCTATATTTGATTTTTTAATTATATTTTCAATTAAAAAGAATTAACAATTCATATCATTCTTTAAAAAAAATCACACATTTTTTCAAAAATATTATTTGTGATGAATCATTTATATATTAAATTAGAAATTAATAAAAAAGTATATTTTCATATATTTTTTTACATATTTAAATCATATTTTTCATATTCAATTAAATCAGTACAACACACTGATATTACATCTAATTTATTCGATTACTAACTAAATTTATTGATTAGATCATCGGTTAAAATAACACAAACGTGTTTTTATTAATTTTTATTTATTTTTTCTCCATTTAAGTACTACTATTTTTAGCAATAAAAAAATTTATCTTCTCCCGAATGGCATAAATATTAATATGAAAGCTTAAAAAATATATATGGTGAGATGTGACAAAAATAAGGCAAAAACAGTTTCTAATAAATAATAATTAATATTTCTGATTCAAAAAAAACAAATGACTTAAAAGAATCCTAAAGAAATTAATTATATAAACCTAGGAAAATGAAATTATATAACAGAACATGAACTAATGACCTAAAAAGCACAAAGAAATATTGTTTGCTGCTAGCTGATTAACTACATGCTGGTGCATCGAAACTCTTGCTATGCACAAACACAATTGAATCAGATTTCACAGTTATTGGAGCAAATGTATGAACCAACTTTGGCTTCATTTTTGGAATCTCCTTTGACTTGGTCAACTTTAGGGGAATTCCATTCAACAGCACTACATCACTTTGAAGATTTCCATCTTTAGGTGTCAAATGGTACTCTTCTCTCATAATCTTTGGTGTCTTTCTTTTTAGGGCCTCCAGAGAAGGGTATAGATTCATGTCATTGTCAAGGGATACTTGGAAGGAAGTGGAATTGGACATGTTTATAAGTAGCACACTGATACCAGGCTGAAAATAAATGAAGGCAAATTATAAAACTTAAAAACAAAAAAACAAATGACATTAACTGAATTTATATAAATTTTTTGGTAATTATTTGTTTTAACTATTATTTTTCTTTCACAAATGCCAATGAGTGATATACTAATTGAATAACATTTTTTTTATTAAAAGTGTTATGCTACTATTTCTAATGCACCCCAAAGATGTGATTTACAATAAAAAAATAATATTATTTGTTGATTTGTTAATCTATGGATTTCTTAACACATTTATGTCATTGTTAATTAAGACCCCTTTTTCTTTGTGCATAATTTTCTAATAAGAGAACTAAATTAAGTTAAAACATTTGAAAAGATAATTATTGGAAAGACTTCTTATAGTATTTGTGGAAGTTAGTTTAGATAAATACCAAACAATTTCTTTTAAAAAAAATGAATGAGCTTACCCCTTTCTTAGAACAATGAGCATATGCACGTAAATACGGAGAACCTTCATGAAAAACTGAAAGTACTTTACTTCCCATAAGTCGATGCCACAAAAGTGCTCTGATCAAAAGAAAAACAACATTAGAAAGAAATATTTATAAAAACCACTTAGGAATATATATGTGACTTGCCCATAATAATCTGGGTTAGGAATCAATGTTGTGGTGTTCAATAAAGCATAATTTCCGCCGACTAGAGCTTGTCTACAATAAACCTTGTGGTTGAATGTTGATGTCATTCCCAACTGATCTAGGTACCTAGTTATTCATTAAAATTATGTGACATATTAGTGAAATTTTGTAATGAAAAGAAAAAAAGGAAAGAAAAGAACTCAATTGAATTGAAATTACACATACCAAAAGCCATTAACAAAAGTATTTGAAACATCTTTGCCACCACTATTATAGGATCCACCAGATTCTCCAACCCATGCTCCTGCTGATGGTGAGTATTCATTGACTGCTACGGAGACATCTTTGAATGTTTGAGCAACTTTGCTCAAATAAAATGGGTTTTGAATCTTGTGGATAAGATTCTTATCATCACCTTCATTAAGTATAATTTATTTTAAAAACCAATCACTATGGTATATACACAAACAAAGTAGTGAAGTGCATATTATTAGATTAGACCAAAAAGGAGAATCCATTACATACCAGCACCAAGGTTGTAAATGTGATGGGTTATTCCATCAACCACACCAGGTTCAACATTCTGTAAGAAGCTATCAAACCAATTCTTATCATAGAAACCACCAGGGCCTAGCACCTTTGGCCTTGTATTCTCATTTGGGTATAGTAAATTAACTGCACGTTTTAGCTTAGTGATGTCTTTAGCATATTGAACACTATCTACTCTAGCACCTACTCCACCAGAGCATAACTCATTTCCTGATATGCAGTTTAAAAAACTCAAGTCAAAATATATCATCAAACAAAATAAAAATGTTTGGATATGTAATTCAAAGCTTCAATTTCAAAGACTTCAACTACCTAATTCATATGAATCAATTTTGTATCCTTTTGACATTGTGTACTCCATGAGACTTATGGCATTTGTTGGATCCCAATTTCCCACCCAGTTACCCTTGTGGGTCTGGGAATTTTTCTTTCCAATTAAGGCATTCAACCCAAAAGTGAATTTCACGCTGCAAAATAGAGAAGAAAAAAAAAAGAGAAGAAGAAGTGAGATTATAAATGCTAACAAGTTACATGCATAATCACATTGAGAAAAGGATATGAATTAATACTCAGTTTTGTTGAAAAAATTATTCATTTCATCCCATTTCTTTTTGGGAAGACATCCTTCACTGAAACCAAAGAGACCATTATGTTTCTTTTTCATAACGGGACATTCCTTTTGTTTTCCAAATTGGTAAACAATTTGATCTTCCAATGAACCTCCTAATCTGATTCTCAAGGGACTGAATGCTGCAATTTTTTTAAAATGATATAAACATCACAGTATACAAATAAGTACAACAAATTAAATTAAATACAAAATCTTTTTCTAAAAAATCTTATCTTCCGAGCCCAATCATGTCAAAACTAATAGTAATAACATTTTTCTGTGTATAAAAATTTCAAGTGGAACATTATAAGTAAAAGAAAAACATACCCTTGATGGCATTTGTTATAATTTTGTTACCAAAGTCCTACAAAAAATAAAAAAACATTAGATGAAAATATGCATGATGCTTACTTAATGATAAATACTAAACACTAGATTGAGATCTCAAATGAAAAAAAAGCTAAATACCATATTGAGAACACCTGCGTTCACCCAAGGACATTGATCGTAGTTACACTTATTAGAAGGCCACCAATCTAAAGTTGCACAAACAAAATTTTCATCTGTGGTAGCAATGGTTGTCACTGTTTCCACTCTAAGGTTCACATGTTCTGCTAAAGATAGACAAAATAATGAAAGGAGAACACAACAAAAGGTTACTTTGGCATCCATTTTCAATGAAAAATGGTGGAAAAGAAGAACTATAAGTTTATGTAGCTTTTGTTCTGTCACTCAAATTTATAGTCGTGTTTCCCAACACTATCCAACAACTTTGGTTAATGTTTAGTACTTTGAAGCACTATCCAACCATTATTTTTCTGTTAATATTTTTCTAAAGTAACAACTTTTAGGATAAATTACTTATTTTAAAATCTTCCAAATAATACTTTTAAGTAACTATAGTAACAAGTTTTGTTTATCTCAAATCTTTCCAGAATCTTTTAGTTAACAACTTTAACTGGTAACTTGTTTATATAACAGGATCTTTTAAGTAACAACTTAATGTTTATTTCAATTTTTCTCAAAATCTTTTATGTAACTTTTCGGATAGAATTGTTTGTCTTTATTCTTCCCATAATATTTTAAGTAAGAAATTTAATTAAGTAATATATATATATATATATATATATATAGTAAAGAAATTAATGTAAATGTTTAAAAAAATTTGAGACCAATAGAAAATATCTTCTTTATATATGGTATAGATTGAAAATAAATATATATATAAGTTACAAAAAATAAATTAATTGATATAACATATAGTTAGTACGTAAAAGGTAAAATAATTTTAAACAAAAATTGAGATCAAAAGTAGTTACTATTTTCATCAATATATAGTTACTTATTTTAAAATAATTTTTTCACTTTATCAATAAATGTAGAAAAAAATTAATTATTCAATCTATCAACAATAACTATTTACTTATTTTAGGACTATTTTTTATCTCAATTGTTGTTTAAAATTATTTTACCTTTTACTAATTATATATTATATCAATTAATTTACAGTTTGTAACTTATATATATTTTTATTTTCAATCCATACCATATATAAAGAAGAAATTTTCCTTTGGTCTCCATTTTTTTTTAAATATTTATATTTTTTTTTACCAACACATATCTTAAGGATAAAATAAAAAAGCATTTATATAAAAAATTAATTATTCACTCTGTCAACAATAATTATTTACTTATTTTGTAACCACTTTTCTCTCAATTTTACTTAAAACTATTTTACCTTTTACTAATTATGATTAAAAAAATTACTCATTACCTCAATTAATTTACATTTTGTAACCTCTATATATATTTTTTATTTTAAATTAAATTCATAGGACTTGATGTGACTATTTTCACTCGTAATTATAATATTTTAAAAGAAAATTGTGCGTATAATAGATTATTCATTATTTTCATTTTATTTCATAGTTTAATTGTATTTTTAATACATCCATTTTATTAAACTAAAATTTTCTCAAGTCAAAATTTTAAAATTAATTCTTAGAAATAATAAGATTTATTTAATATTTTTTGTTTTTTTGGGGGTATATTTAGTTAAACACATTATTTGTCTTAAACTTTTTTATTTTAACAGAATAAATCTTTCTGCTACAATTTTAACATGCGAAAGGAATAGCTTAAAACACTTCCAAAGAAAATGTTTGTGTGTATATATAGTTACTATTAGAAGAAAAAAAACACTTCATGCATTTATAAATTTTATTTAAAGAATAATAAAATAAAGATAAAAAAATTACAATATGCAAACCAAGAGATATAAGATAATGTATAATTAGTAGGTGATAAAAATATACTCATACAGAAAATAAAAAGCAAAATCAGTTTTTAAAATGTATCTCTCCTGTACAATGATGTAGATTTTAATTTATATTGTACTTTTATAATATAACAAAAGTATCTTACACACCCTATAATATCAGTAAAGTTAATCACCTATATACGGTATAAAGTTTTTTATACTGATAACTAATCATATTTTTTAATAGTATCATATCAGTTATTCATTTAATAAAATAAAAATAAAATAAAATAATTTAAAAGATATGATTGATTGTCAGTATAAAAAACTTTACCCTGACAATGTATGGATGATTAACTCATATCAGTATTCAACCACTATTTTTCAGTTAATATTTTTCTTTTTAAGTAACAAATTTTATGATAAATTGTTTGTCTCAATTCTTTCTAGAAACTTTTAAGAAACAACTTTTTGGATAAAATGTTTATCTCAATTATTCTAAAAATCATTTTAAGTAACAATTTTTATGATCAACTGTTTATGTCAGTTCTTTCATAATCTTTTAAAGTAACAACTTATTGATAACTTGTTTATCTCAGCTCTTTTCACAAACTTTTAAGTAACAACTTTTATCATCAAATGTTTACCTCAGTTATTCTCAAAATCTTTTAACTAACAAGTTTTAAGATAAATTGTTTATCTTAATTATTTTCAGAATTTCTATTGTTACGAAATCATTTTCTAGCAAGATATTTTCATGATTAATATGATTATAAGACTAATACTTTAACATCTATTTCATATGTTATATCGTCATGCAATTATTCAAAAGGAAAGTATTGATTAAAATTATAGTTATAAATTTAACCATAACTCGTAAAAAATAATAAGATAACTCTATTATCGTTTAAGTGTAAAGAAATTAAAAAAATGAATATTAAAATATGGTATTTCCTTTATTAATGTTATAAATAAGTATAATTTAAAACAAATTTCAACATTAAAAAAAAAAAACAAATTTACATATAAATACGTATTATGTTTAAATATATAAATTATAGTTAAAATTTGAATAAATAGATATTTTTAATATATAAATTATATTTTAAATTTATGCTAAATAATTTATATTATTGTATAAAATTATTTTTATTTATTAATAATTTATTTAAAAATATTAAAATTTAATTTATAAATAAAAATCAAATCAACCATTATATATTAAATTTGAATATCTATCTTGTACAAGAATATTTTTAGGGAATTTTCTCTCACGAGAGTGTTTTTATATGGAATTTTTTAATTTCTTGTTAAATTCAATTTTTATTTATTATGAATTAAATTTTAATATTTTTAAAATAAATTATCAATAAATTAAAATAATATTGCATTATATTTATATTTAATATATATATATATATTAATACAAATTTTAAATATGATTTATATATTCAAACCTAATATTTATTTGTATATATAATTTATAAATTTTAATTATATATAAGAAGTATTTTGTTTGTGTATTGTGATACTCTCTACCATGCAAACAATTATAATATAAAACTGAAAAATCTCAAATAAAAAAAATAAAGTCAAAATTCATATATATAGGAAGAAACACATTTTAACATAAACTAGACTTAACAAAAATTAGGGGGTATAAGCGGGTTAAGTTGGACTGGATTTGGATGGATCCGTTATATGAACCAATAAAAAATTAACGGGTTTAGTTAGGTCGAGTTTGTGCAATTTTTTTTTTCAAAATCCAACCTAATCCAATTCGATTACGAACAACTTAGGTTGGATTGGGTTAATCAAGTTAGCATAATTAAATTTATTTATTTATTATAAAAATTTAAATATTTCAAAATATATGAAAATCATTTGATATATCGTTGCAAATACAATGCTATCAACCTATAAAGTAAACAATGACACAAATTAAATTCTAAAATAAATTTATTAATTTATTACATTATTATCAACTCAACAAACCAACATTTATTAATAAAAAATAAAGTTTAAAATAAATATATTATATTGTTACAATGTTATTAACCTAAAACACAAAACTCATTACTAAATAAGAGTGAAAATGAGTATTGTTTTGAGTAAATGATTATTCAAATACTATTATTATTATTATTATTATTGTTGTTTTTGTTGTTGTTGTTGTTGTTAAATGATTGGATCACATCGAGTAACAGGTTAAAAACACAAAACCTGTTACACGATCCATACAGTGCCGAGTTTTGATCAAGTTAGGTTGGATCTGATCTTAACACTACAAAAATCGGATCTAGACTCATTGGATCGGTTTGAGTCAATTTTAATTGACAGATAATCATAAAATCAATTTATACATTTATTTGAATTAATGAAACGAAGTATCAAATAATCTTTAAATTTAAAAAAAAATTGCATATTTAATCTATACATTAAAATTTTTTAATTCAATGATTAGATCATTAAAATTTGATGTAAAACATGGATTATTGAACGAAATAAATCTAGATAGACTTATTCCTAGATTAAACAGATTTCATCATATATATATATATATATATAAGACATTACCATATTTTACTAAAACTGTGACATAGTAGGTTGGTTCAAGGTAAGTGAATGCTAGAGGGAATGGTATTTAAGGTTTTCTCTGAAAACAAAGTCTCATAAGCTCATTCTCAAAGAAACCTAGAGAGAGGTTTTAGAGAGAAGGACTTTGGTCTGTGAGCTTCTTTCTCTCCCAAACTTCTCTATTTGAATCTTCTTCTCCCCTAGGTCACTAATTCCATCTTTCTTTTCTTGAATTCAGGCGAAGAAGTTGGTTCTGGAGGGTTGAAGTCTGTGGGTTGAGCTCGAAGGGAAAATCTTTTTCTTCTTATTCTTGGCCATTTTGAGCCAATCTTTAGGTGAGGGAAGTTAGATTGTAGACTTATTGGTTGTATGTGAGTTTAGGAACTCATTTGGAGTAAGAATGTTGAGAATCATTGATTGATTTGAAGAATTTCTCATTTTTGGGGTTTCGGGAAAAAATTGGGAAAAAATTGAGTTTGGGAACTTCTCATGTTGAGTTTGAGGTTGCTTTTGAGTTGTATGGAGTTTATGTGTTACATTGCTTGGATTGCATGTGGTGGAAATCTTTTGATTTTCAGGTTTTTGAGGAAATTTCGAAGGTTTGGAGTTGGTTGTTTAAAGTTGCGTCGGGCGCGCATTCATCAGAAGCACCCAGTTTCAACTCACACCAGGTGCGAGGTTAGTTGCGCCGGGCGTGATTGAGACTGGAAGCCTCTAGATGAGTTGCGTTGGGCGTGGGAGAACCACACCGGGCGTGATATCAAATGGTGGTCCTGAATTTTGGGTTACTGGTGTGGCGCCAGGCGCAGGGAGGGTGGGTCGGGCTTGGAGACCC